TCTTGGGTAATGGCAGCACCAGGGCCACGGCCGTAAAGGAGGTGCCACGCCACTGTGCAAAATGAGAAGGGGAGGGTGAGGGGAGGAAAAAAGTGCCTAAAAGTGATAAAAGTTGGAGGGAGGCCCCAGGGCCCCACGTCCCAGCGGCTGAAGGACAGGGGGGGACATGGGGGGGACAGGGGTGGGCGCAGAAGAGCCCCCCCTTCGTCCCCCGAAGGAGCGGGGGCCGGGGAGGGATAAAGTGCAGAGCTGAGCAGAAGGCCGGGAGCTCCTCCAAGCAAAGAAATAAACCCGTTTTCCTATAAACTGGGAGGACAAATCCTTCAGGAATAGCTCTTTCCTGAGGGGGCTCCACACCAGACACACACACACCCCTCTCCACCCCCCGCAGCTGGAATAAACCAGCAAGGAAAGGAGGCGTTTGAGCCCTTGGCTGTGGAGTAAGGACAGGCGAGGACAACTCGCCTGGTGGCCAAGTTTCTGCCCCGGCTTCCTGAGGCCAGGGTAAGGCTAAGGCGAGGCAGATGCTGCGAAGGAGATGGTGGCCATCCGAGGGGAGAGCCCAGGGCCGTGCTCCTGGCTGGGGTGGGACACCGCCGATGGCCTCAGATGGGCCACCACCCGGCAGCACATCCAGGAGGATGGAGAAGCAGGGGCTGGGGAGTTCAGACACCATCCTCAACTTCCCCCCCCAGCAGAGCCACGTGTGCCCAAGCCACAAAAGGGAGGAAGACGATGAACACCTGAAGATGGAGGGAGGAAGAGGACAATGCAGCAGCCTGGCTCCTTCCAGATGACCTAAGGAGGCTAAAATTAGACATAAGACTAAACCCTGCGCTGCCAGGGGTTCCACAGCTCAGGGCGAGGTGCTGCCGATGCCTCTTGCACGTCCCTGCGAGGGTTTGGTTGGGTTTTTTTTTTGTTTGGTTGGGGTTTTTTTCACATTCCTGCCAAGTCTGATCCTGAATCCAGGGCCCAAGTCCCGGCCTCGCTCTGCCCCCCCCCAGAATCAGGAAGAGGTAAGAGCAGCACCAGCCATTCCATGGGGAGAAAGGCTCCAGAGCCCCACGGAGATGGTGGCCAAGGGCTCAGGGCACACCGAGAGCACTCCCTCCCTCCCCATCAGCACCAAGGGCACATGGCAGCATCTGCCCCCCACCTCCAGATCAGAAGAAACCCATTCTTCTCTTGGGTTCAGGGAGACAGGGTGTGCAGGGAAGAGCCCAGCAGCCAAAGCCCCAGCTCCAGCTCAGCATGGGCAAAGCCCAAGCCTGATGGAGGCAGCAGGAGGGGAGGAAGGGTTGGCAATTTCTGCCTCCCACCCCAGGGCCGTTGGGAGGTGGGGGACAGGCTATTCCTTGATCTAGAACCATGAAGAGCCTGCCCCGTCCCAGCAGAAAAGCAGAGGTGGCCTTGCCTTCACGAGACAAGCCCCACCATTGTCCTCTTTAAACCTGGTCAGTGCTATGCTCTCCTGGCTAGTGAATGAGCATGTTAAGGGAATGGCCGACATGCCACAGAGAGGGGCAGCCCAGGTGAAGAGCAGCCTCCTGAGCCCTCCATCTCTGCCACCGGGAGCCCAGCAGTTCAGGTCACAGCGTAGAGCTCCTCACGGTCATTCTGGCAGATCTGATAGCGGCAAGTGAGCTTCTGCGACCAGGCCCAGGGCTTCTTATGCTTGTCCCGAGGAGGAAGCAGGAAAGCAACGCTGAAAGCCACCAGCACGTGCCAGATGCTGTGGGTGTAGTAGTAGTTCTCATTGGTTTCCATGAATGCATATACTGACATGGCGATGAAAGCCAAGGTGATCCCTGGGAGGAGGTAGAAAACCCAGCGCTTCCACGAGGAGGGGTAGCAGTGTCTGCGCTTCACGCCGTGGTAAACCTGGAGAGCAGAGAAAGGTTAAGCAGCCAAGCAGAAGCTTAGGAAGGGAGCACTGCCCGACCCAGGAGCTCCTGCCAACCTCACAGCATGAGGTTGTGCCTGATGCCCCTCAGAAATTCAGCTTCCCCCCTTCTTGGGCCTGTCTCTTGTGTGCAAGAGCAAGAGCTGTGGGACCAGAGCCCCCATGCAGAGGGTAGTGGTGGCAGTGGCGATGCCACAGCTCTTGCCCAGGGTAGGGGCAGCTGCCAGCCATTCTGGGACTACACTGCAGCCACCAGTGTGCGCTCAACTGGAGCTGCAGCAGCTGAGAGCTGTAACTGGGGGATTTCTTAGCTACTGGAGGGATGGAAGGTAGATCCCCTGCCCTGTACCCCCTCCACCTGGGTGTTTCAAGGAGATCAAGCGCCGCCTGTGGATCATCTGGAGTCTGGGGTCTGCTCTGCCACTGTCATTCCCCAGAGAGGAGCAAAGGGCAGCAGGTCCTGCCTGGCTGTCCCTACTTACCCACGCTGCAATCATGATGACGAGGGCAAAGAGGCAGGGACCCATCATGTTCCACACCCCTCTGCGGTCCAGCTGCAGGGACATGGCAATTAACAGGGTCCCCAAGACGAAAAGGACCTGGGAATGAGACACCACCACTATTGTCAGCAGCTCATCTGCTGCTGCTGTGCAGAGCACAGGCAGCCATGCCAGAGGCAGGGAGGACCTCACCTCCTGGCCACCCAGCCCTGCATACGTGCAGGTCTCGGGAGGAACACCTTCCAAAGGAGAAACCAGAGGACCCACAAACCTTCCCCACAAATCTCAGTTCCTCAAGCCCAGTCCCTACAAGCACGTAGGTTCATGATTCAAACTCCCGGGACAAAACAACCCACTGGTTTAAAAATCAGGGTGGCACTGGGTGACAACCAGGCTTTGTCACCAGGCTGGGGCTGTATCCACGAGAGGGCTCAGCATGGCCACTCACAGTTTGGCTGGCTCAGCCTGGCCCTGCCACGCGGGGTTACCTGACACTCACGTATTTCAGGATCTTCTTCACCCGGGACATGCACAGGATCGTCACCCAGATGGACACCACGGAGCCCAAAAAGTCACAGTACTGTAGTGTGTCATAGTCCATGATGCACATCACCGCGACGCCTGGCTGGTCACATGCATGGTAGAACTAGAGCCGGGGACAAAAGCAAAGGCTAACGTGAGTCCAGCAGCACCACACGGCTTTCTGGGAAGGAGAGGCAGGAGAAGGCTCAGCCCATGGCAGCCAGGGTCCCTCCTGGCAGTGCTTCCAAGAAGCTCCACCAAACCATTGTGGCATTACAGAAAGCAGATGAGGACAGCCATCAACCTGCACCGTTCCAGCAGCAGCTGAGAGCTCCAAGGACAGCATCCTTCAAGCTTGCAATGCCCCAATCCCACCTCAGCTCCCGGGGGTCCCACCCCCAAACACAAGCACCCACAGTGTGGGTGGAAGAGCCTGGTAAAAATGGCACTCCTGCCAAGCTCTGAAGGGGCAGGACATGTCCATGGAGGTGTTTGTCCAATGATGCTTAGAAGCTCCTTGTGGAGCTCCAGGATGGACTGCTCCACCAAAGACTTCAGTCGGATGCAGCATCCCTGATGCTCAGGGGTAGTTGGCAGGGGACTCGAAAAAAGGCAATCCTTACCGTGGAGAAGAACATGGTGTAGGTGTACACGGAGGCCTCCACCAGGTAGTAGCGATAAACAGCAACCGCTATGGCCGGCAGGAACATGAGGTTGCTCAGGGTGAGCAGGAGGGTGGCCAGGTTCTGTGCACCGACAGACTGCGCCTTGGTATCGTCCGTGCAGCTCCACCCGCCCCAACCTGCGGAGCAGAGAGGCTTGTGTGGATCTCACATGCCCTGCCTTGTCCTCCTGCACCACCCAGGAGGAGCCTGGGACTGCTCAGAAGAAGCAATCACCCCCCTGGACTATCCCTGAGCCTCCTCTCCCTTGCTCCACCAGCCACTCACACTCCTGTTCCTAGGGTGGTCTCGTTACTTATCGCATGCTCTGCTGTGGAAGGTCTTGGGGAACCCCAGCAGAACCCTGTGTCTGCTCTGAGGACATCCCCAGAAGTTGTTCCCATGTAGCAGACGCCATCCTCCACAGAGCATGGGTCTGACCAGGCTGGGACTTTTCATCTCTACAGTAACTCAACACACATACTACTTGCTGGTGGTACATCAAGCATTCAAGCCTCAGATGATGGTGTAAACTGGGTGCAAGATCCCTACAGATCCCAGGAACCAGGATGGAGAACGAACCACAGCACTGAGGAAGCCACTGGGCTCCTCATCTACCTCCTGTCACGCCAGCTCGGGTTGCTCTGGGCCTTGCCCAGCTGAGTTTTGAAGATCTCCAAGGATGGAGACCTGGATACTATGCAAAGCTGAACAACTCTGGCGAGGGGAAAAATTGTCTTCAATTCAGCTGGAAATGTCCTTGCTGCCACTTATGTCTGTGGCCACTTGCCCTGCGCTCCCCGAGAAGAGCCCAGCTCCAGGTGGGCAGGTTCAATTTGATCCTCCTCCAACTCTTCTTCTCCAGGGTGAGCAAACCCACTGCCCCAGCCCGCGGTGACATCCAGCTCTGTGCAGCACAGTGGCAGTGAACATTTCCTAGAGGACAGTGCACGCCACAGGGCACAATCCTTTCTTCTGACCAGACACCAAGGACTGAGCTGAGACAGTCACCTGCCTTTTTTTTTTTTTTTTTAATTTAAATGTAAATTATTTTAATTAAAGATCAGGATGTCCTTTTGAGGAAAGGAGGTCAGGCACAGGGCAGCCTGGGTAGGTGGAGGCACACGGTCACTCCACGGTCAAGAAGCAGAGTTAAAAGCAGCATCCATCCCATTGCGGCGCCACTGGAAACCAAGCCAGCAGCTCTGCCCCTGCTCCAGCTCCTGCCAGGCAGAGCCCAGGGAGCCTCCTCTCTCCAGCTAATTTCTGGGTCACGAATATGCAGATGGGGCGTTTTGCCGCCAGTGATTCAGCAGTAAGCTGTCCTCAGCCCGATTCCCCAGTTCCCTTGGGGTGCTCTGTGCTTCCCCGAACCCGGCACCCCTCAGGGAAATTAGGGTGCTGTTTCTCCATCTCCTGCTGCAGCAGGGACCTCCTGGCTCAGACCCAGAGCAGCAGGGAACCACATTTTGCCTCCTCCTTCTGCTGAGAACAGGTAAACGGACCCACCCAAGCGTGGCAGAGCTATCATCTTCCCTGCACCGCTGACTCCTGCCCAGTCTTCTCATCTCATTAACATAATTAGCAGCTGACACCGATGTTCCTCCTCCAGGGGCACCTTTGAGTCTAAGGGCTGGCAGGAGACAGAGCTCCATGGCAAAGCAGGGAGAGGGATGGCAGCCCAGCCTCATCGCATCCCATACCAGGACCCTACACAACAAACCTCCCTGAGAGGCACCAGCTCCAACACAGGCATTTTCAGGCAGCCCTGATGGCACCCTGATCTCCCTGGGGATGCTCAGAGGCATCTCTCCAAGCTGGAAGCCAAACTCCAAGCCGTCTTCAGCCCAATTCCCCCTTTCCCCTGGGCTGCTCTGTGCTTCCAGGACCTGGCACCTCTCGGGGCAGCCAGGATGCTCCCAAAGAGGTCACCACGGGTGCCAAGGGCTCTTTGGGCAGACACTGTGACACCAGGCTGCTCCTGGCAGCCACGGCACACCCCAGGCTCCCCTACCCAAACAGCACCACCGAAAAACGTGGCCTCCCCTCGGGAAGGATGGCAAAGCTTCCCAGGAAAAGGCACTCACCAGCCTTGCAGCTGCAGCCGGCGTAGAGGTAGCCATGTCTTCTCAGGAGGCTGCACTGCCCGTAGGGCCCACAGTCGTTGAAGCAGGGGGTGAGGTATGCGAAGACGGTCACTTTGGCTTCTGCGGCATTACATTCACTGCAAGGAGAGCAGGTCGTGGTGGCACCCTGGGGCAGCCCTGTGCCCAGGGACCACTCTGCTTCCCAAGGTCAGGCCACGTTCCTGCATCCAAGCTCCCCGCTGTCCTGGAATCTGCTCTGTCCCTCCCAAGAGCAAGGAGCGGAGCCGGCTCCCTCTCCACCCAGCCTGCCAAACCCACCTGCAGGCGGGGGGCAGCTCTCCCCAGACCCCTACAGCAGACCCCGGTACCCAGGATCAGCATCGCCAGCGCTGTTTCACAGCACGTGCTCGGCCCCTTACACAAGGAACCAGCAGGAAGGCAAACCGTGTGGGCACAGCTGCACCCAGAGACCCCTCGAAGGAGTAACAGCAACACTTTCATTTACCGATTTATCACCTCAAAATCCACCTGGGGAAGGGGAAGCTCATCCTGGTGGGCTCTGCCAACCACAGTCTGTGCAAGATGTGCCCAGCTCAACACTAGACAAGCTGCTCAGATGCTCACAAGAGAGCGAGCTGGCACTGCCACCCACCTCCTTCCCTCTCTGCAGCCACAGTTCAACTGCTACCAGGTGAGAGGAGCCCAGGGCATGGCAGTAAGGACAGGGGCTTGTCTTTGCTCACACCAACCAAGAGCAGCGGGATGTGGAGGCAGAGGGCTCCAAGCTGGCCCTAAGGTGGGATGACGCACCAGACTCACCCCTGGCCCTTCGGGCAGAGGAGCTGCAGGGAGAGGAACCAGTCATCCGTCTGCGGGTACAGGACAATCAGCATCGCTTCCGCAGAGGACGTGCTCACGCTCAGAGGGTAGCCCTGGAAAAAAGCTTAAAGAAAAGAGGGTGCTGCGATGTGCCAAGACTAGGGAAGAAGGGCACAAAGCAATCCCAGGCTGAGATCGATTGCACAGGAATCAGATGCCCCTGTGGCTTCTTGCTCCCATCCTCAGGAGGCATCAGGGGGATGGAGAGGACCCTTGCTCCTGAGACCCTTGTTTTTAACTTTCATCTCAGCTCTCAGTACCTGCCTAGACACCACAGGGCACATGGAACAGCCTGTTTGCCTGGCTAGTCCTCCAGGGCAAAGCTTAACTTCTTTGAACACCAGCAATGCCTTAACCATCCCCAGACCTCCTGCCAACAAGGCTGGAAGAGCCCTAACTGGTAACCAGACCTTCCTTTGGTGGAGTCTAACTCCTGGTGCCAGACCAGCACCTGCACCCCAGCACCCTGGGCACGTGCCAGCACGATGACCTCAGGAGGGTTCGGGCCAAAAAATCAGCTTCCCTGGGACACCCCAGGAAGTCCTGAGCCAGTTAACAGCTCACGAGGTCTAAAAGCAAATCCCAGAGCTGGTGGTGGGTGCCAGCCTCTCTCGTACCTGTGCTGCAGTTGTGCGTGGCGTTGAGGGACAGGACCGGCGACGCAGCACTCACACAGGCTACCACGGTGGCGTTGGACAGGCTCAAGGATGTCTGTGCAAACAGAGCAGGGTCCCAGGTCAGACAGCCCCGATGCCACCCCCCTGCCCGATTCACCTCCCCACGGTATAACAGGAGCAGCAGGTGACAATAAATCCTGCAGATTAAGGTCACCCATCAATTCAGCAGCTCTTTCTGGGCAAACCCGTGTTGACCTCACCCTGCACTGCCACCGTGCTACATGCTGGCTGAAAGGCAAGAGAGCCTCCTGGGGGACCGTCCCAAAGCTGGGACACTTGGACATCACTTCAGCAGGAGCACAGGGTGGCAGAAGTCACAGGCAGCAGGACATCGGGGCTGAGCCCTGCTCCAGCCCTCAGGAAGCTTCACAGAATTTCAGGGGGCTGATTTTGAGGTGTCACTGGGAGCCTGGAAATCAGTGACTCAGGCAGGAATATCCCTCCCTTTCCCTGCTCGGTCTCCTCTCCTGGTGGCAAGGCGCCAGGCTCCCGTGGAGAAGATGACATTGCAGCTGCTTTCCATTTTGTCTCCTCTGCGTCACTGCCACCACATGCCAGCAAGCTGTGGCATGTGAATTGGAGCTGGCAGGTGGGACATGCTGGAAGCGGCTAAAACAGGCTCAGAGTGTTTTGTCACAACAAAAAGAAACGAGAAACAGTCCCACCAGTACCTACAAGCCCTGGAGTCTGCTGACAAACCAGGCCAGGAGCAGGGACAAAGCCCCGCAGAGGGGAGACAATCCCCTCAATCAGCCTCCGCACCTTGTTGAGCAGGAGACTGACCACGAGGGAGCCCCCGCTGTCCATGCCGGTGTTCATGTTGAGGAGGAGGAGGGTTGGGGAGAGGGAGTTCACGGGCACACTGGGACCATTCAAGAGCCTGTAGCGCACAGACACCACATCCAGGTCCTCACGAACGACGGGCTGGCTCTGCAGACACAAGCTCCTCTGGTCGGACACGTTGCGTGAAGCTCCTCCGGTAGATGGAGAGGGGCTCCCTGCTGCTCCTGCGCTACCCGGTCTGGGACCAGTCTGGCTCTGGTTCAGGCTGTTGAAGTTAAGGAATGAACTGGTACTGCCCAGCCTGCAAGCTGTAAAGCACAAAAAGAAGAGGAATCAGCACAGCCAGGTCTAGGACCTCATCCAGGCAGGGCTCCAGCAGCTCCAGACCTCCAAGTGACAGCACAAACTGGGGGGTATTTCAACTGGTTCATGCACTGCAGGGTTGGCTACAACCCCTGAAAGGCACTGGTCGCAGGGGGAACTCCAGCATCAGCATCCACGAGTTGGGACACCGATGGAAAGCAGACAGTGGTTACCATGGGTGGAAGTGCCCTGGAGCTGCAGGGAAGGGGATGGGGAGCAGAAGAAGGGATAACACACAGCATCATAAGACATCAAGGTACCCAGGGAGTATTCACTAGCAGAGCACAGCATTCAGCTGTCCCATAACCAAGGGCTGCACAAAAGTCTCTGCCAGTTCCCCAGACGTGAGCAGACAAGGCTGAGCAGAAGAGAGAAGCTAATCCAATGTAGCTGCAGGCACAAGCCATCACGTCATGGCAGACGGAGCTGAACGTGACACCTGGGATTCCCACTGCTGAAGCCTGTCCATCACTCCCACAGACTCTCGTGCTGCCCTCTAACAACCTCCAGCACTTGGGATGAGGCTCTGCTTTGAGGAGGCAATGGCAGAACCCCCAGCAGAAGATAAATTTTAATATGTACCTAGTTGGTGAGCTTCCAAGAGATAAACAGAGATTATGGCCATGTAATAAGAGGATGCAAAGGTGCCTATCACAGTCAAAAGGACCTCATGGCCTCCCAAGTCTCAAGGTGTCACCTGAAATGGTGACATCCCCTCACTACGACCGAAGACATTACCCCAAATAAACCTCTGCGAGATGGTTTCCTGTCTGTAGCCTGCTTATGGTCACAATCGATAGTCAACATATCATTACAGTCTGGTGCCTCTACCCAAAACTATTCTCCCCATCTGACTTTAAGCCAACCGCTGCTTCCCAACCAGCCTGTGGAAAATATCATTGCTTCAGAGACCCTGAACCCTTCAGGCATTTCCAAATCAGGCAGCTCCAGGGAGTATCCCTCTTGGGCAAACACTGGAGCCTTCACTTTTGACCCCAAAGCAACAACTAGGTCTCAGCCCCTAAGATTATGCCCAGGCAACCAGAGTGCTGGGGAATGCCAACCACTACAGCCAGCCACCCAAAGCAGACTTTAAGCCAACCGCTGCTTCCCAACCAGCCTGTGGAAAATATCATTGCTTCAGAGACCCTGAACCCTTCAGGCATTTCCAAATCAGGCAGCTCCAGGGAGTATCCCTCTTGGGCAAACACTGGAGCCTTCACTTTTGACCCCAAAGCAACAACTAGGTCTCAGCCCCTAAGATTATGCCCATTAAATCAGAGTGCTGGGGAATGCCAACCACTACAGCCAGCCACCCAAAGGCCCAAAGGAGACACAGCAGACACAAAGTTCTCTCTGGTCCTTCCCACAGGGCTAGAGAAAGCGGAAGCCCACCTCTGAAAGTGGCCAGCATCTCCACTGACACACTGGCATTGGCAGCGCCGAGACTCTCCACCATGATCTGCAGCCACTTCTCCCAGGGGGGCGAATCCAGGGCCAGGCTGCAGTTTACCCTCCCCACGCAGGTGATGATCCTCTGGAAGGACTGGGGCAGCGTGATGGAGCCCAGCACCACTCGCACGGCACACGCTTTTTGCTCGCTTGTCAGGCAGTTTCGCAGCTCGAACCTCATCCCTGCAGCGTGCTTGGGAATGAAGACCCTGCAGCAGGAGAGACCAGCAGTTCACAGAGCTTGAGCTCTCAACACAAGCCAACCATGACCCACCACAGTCCCTGGGGCTTTGGGGCAAGAGCTAGGTTGCCCTGGTTGGTGTTGTGAACATTCTTTCCAAGGGAAACCTCTTCCTCAGCACAAAAAGGATCAGCAGGTCCAGAGGAGGCTCATGAAGATGCTCTGAGGGCTGGAGCACCTTCCCTATGAAGGTAGGCTGAGAGATTTGGAGTTTTTCAGCCTGGAGAAGAGAAGGCTCCAGGGAAAGCATATAGGGGCCTGCCTTCCCTGGAGGGCAGGGAGGACTGGCTGGAGAAGGACTTTTTACAAGGGCATGTGGTGATAGGACGAGGGGTAATGGCTTCAAACTGGAAGAGGGGAGATTTAGATGAGATATCAGGAAGAAATTCTTTGTTCTGAAGGTGGTGAAACACCTGGTTGCCCAGAGAAGCTGTGGCTGCCCCATCCCTGGAGGGGTTCAAGGCCAGGTTGGACAGGGCTTTGAGCAACCTGGTCCGGTGGGAGGTGTCCCTGCCCAGGGCAGGGGGTGGCACTGGATGGGCTTTAAGGTCCCTTCCAACCCAAACCATTCTGTGAAACATCTCAAAGAACTTCTAAGACCATTGGGGGAGCACTGGACAAGGGCACTCATGTTCTCCCCGTGCAAACCCCAGCACTGCTGCAGGGACCTCAGCAAACAGGCTCAGAGACCCCCTAGCTCCAGCCCCATGGGGAAACACCTAAGAGAACCCATGGGAAATCCCACCTCCCCACGGCCCCAGGTCTTTCCATCCCCTGCCCTCACTCACTTGACGTGCAGCGGCTTGGCAGGCGAGACGACGGTCTGTGGCCTGGCAACACCAGGCTCCAGCACTGGCATATCAGCCAGCCTGAGCACAAACATATCTGCCTGGAACATATAGGGGCACGGAGTGGAGAAACCCTGCAGGAGGGGGAGAGAGCAGACAGGTCAGCTGTGGCCAGACAAACCGGGCAAAGTAGGACAGCTAAGACCCTCACCAGGAGCCTCACCTTCACTTCGATCCTGCCCGCAGCCTCCGGGAGATGGGCAGCGATGAACCAGTCTCCAGCAGCAGGGGTGGTGACGTTGACAAAGGTGGTGTTTTGCACAGCACTGCTCAGAGTGATGCTTATGCTGTAGGAAGGACGGACAGTGGCATTTGCAGGAAAACGAGTGCCCAGGGGATTAATTACAGGAGGGGCTCCGTAGCGAAAGTGCCTGCCAGAGAAACCAGACTGGGAGTAAATCGAGGGACGTAAAAACAAGAGAAAACTGGGAAACAAACTCACCAGGGGACACTCAGGTTGGCCTGGGATGGGAGAGGGAGCAGGCTGGAAAAAACCCACATTTTTAAGCGGCCCACAAGAGCCATCATTTTCATCTGATGAAGACCAGGTGCTATTAGCCGGATTTATTTAGAGATTGCTTTAACTTGGCTGCTTATTAAGATAAGGATTTCCATGGTTCCATCGAGCCTGAAAGCAAATTTCCACACTTCCTAAGGTTAAGCCCCAGCCGCAAAACGACTCCTTTTTTCATAACCATCAGCAAATTCCCCATATAGGCTAAATCGCCAAGGAAGAGCTTTCATTTTCTAAGATCTGCATCTTCCCTATTTGCCCTTTTAAGGAGGGCAGGCCGACAGATGCTCACCGTGACCGACTTGAGTACACCGGCATCTGCTTTCAGATAAGCAGCCCAATGTTTGAATTGCCAGAAAAGCAGCAGCTAATTAACACCCGGGATGTTTATTTGGGCAACCAATCTGGCATGTAATTGGCTCGCTTTTGGACTGCTGGAGCATTGCAACAGAACAATGGACAAAAAAGGTCCAGCAAACAAACCTGGCAGGTGATGGGTTATTAAGCTGTTTGAGCTTAGCTGGGCTGGTCTTCATTCCTCAGGGTATCGTTTAGCTGCTGCCTTGTCCCTCACATCCCCAAACTACTGGAAACCTTTCTGGGAAGCTCCAGAGTGACTAAGAGCACCAGTCTGTGCCCAGGACAGACCAGAGAAGCACAAGCCAAGCAGCTTCAGTCACTCCCAAGACCTCTGTGGAGTGGGTGTCAGAGATCCATGTGTCTCCATGGGCACAAGCTGGCCAAGAAACTTGGTACCCTCCTAAGATAGAGCTCAAAGTCCTGCAAGTTTTTGACCTCAAGCCCTCCAAGAGCTCAAGTACTGCTTTAAGCAGTATTTCTTTCATTGGCCTTGAGTTTGCAATCTTCTCATGCTCTTGTGCCTGCAGGACTCGGCATTCCTCTCCTATCTCTGCTCTATACACAGCCCACACCCCTCAGAAGTGTTCCCAGTCTCTTCCATTCCTCTGTACTGGGGAATTTGTCCATCTCCAATCGGTTTGAGTCCTCTCAAGCTCCTTGTAGCCCTGCCACATCCTTAGGTACCATGCACAGGAGCCTGCCAGGCACAGAAATGTCCAGAAACACCTTTGCTCATGAGCAGCAACACCAGGCTCACTGTGAAGCTCTCTCTGGTGTTTCTGAGGCATCTCTTGGACACCACATCTGATAGACAGCCCCAGACCCACCGGTAACGTGAACATGAAATGCTCCTACAGGTTTAAACACAGATTTAGTGCTAGTAGAATAAGAAACTATGTCTGCTGCAACCAGGGAGCAGATGCCCAGCCTCCTACAACCAACCAACCCCAGCCATGAGCAACAGGGACAGAAGAAGGACAGGAAGCACCATGGGCAAGCACCAGCACAGGGACATACGTACACAGTGATCTCCATGTTGGTGCACTCAGGTCCTTTCCCCCGGGATGCCTGCAGGAGCCAGCGAAGCAGCACGGTGTCTTCTGGCACATGGAAGTGGAAGAGCTTGGCGTTCCCATACCAGCTGTAGAAAGACAGCTTCTGTGCACTCTGGGAGAAGTACTCGGAGACATACAGGGAGTCTGAAAGGGAGAGAGCACAGCAGTCACTGGGGTGGATGCTGGGGACAGGCTGCAGGGCTACAGCCACCCATAGATGCTCACAGGAGTTTTAAGGTTGCTGGAGAGGAGCCCTGTGTGTCCCTGACTTCTCATCCCAGTCCTGTCAGATACTTGGCGATCCACCTTGTTCCTCCAGCCAGAACTGCCCACAGCCCTGCTACAAACCTCTCACCCGGAGCCATCACTTAAGATGCCTTAAGTATGCTCTGTGAGATGTGCTCTGAAGGTGTCAGATCACTGGAGACGCCAAGGAGGAAGAGGAAAAGCTGACAGTAGAGGAAAAGGTGATGGAGTAGGCAGCAGCAAACCCTGGGGCGAGCAGTGCAGAGCAGAGGGGAGCAGGTAGCGCAGGGGTGCTCTGGGCTCCAGCAGCAGTTTATGGTGCCAACAGGGAAGAGCTGTGCCCTTGTCTGTCTCTGTTGAGTGCATGGACTGATGTTATGGGTCTTACCCAGCCCAGGACACATGTACTGCACAGCACGCTGCTTCCCGTGACGCAAAGTGATGAAAACCCTAGCATCACAGATTGGTTAGAGTTGGAAGGGACCTTAAAGATCACCTAGCTCCCATATCCCCTGCCCTGGGCAGGGACACCTCCCACCAGACCAGGTTGCTCAAAGCCCCCTCCAACCTGGCCTTGAACCC